TAGAATTTTGGCTTCTAAGATGTTTTTATCGTGCCTCTCTACCCTTGGTATTTTGTGTCAATGGGTTAGGACCAGTGTTTTTCAATCTTTTTTATCTCATGGCACACTTGAAGCTATAGTTAAACTTCCTCGGAACACTTAAATTATGTTGATTAGAAAAGTAAAAAAAGAATATACTTAACTGCTTTGAACTTTATTTGAAAATAATTAATGATCTTTAAAAATTTTCGTGGCACACCTAAGATTCTCACGGTGCACTGATTTGAAGTCAGTGGTCTGGAAGTTGATGGGATTCAGGTTTGAATTTGGGGAGAGGTGGGACAGGCTGTGGCTCAGGTGGTGTGGTGTGCCCCCCGCGCCCCCCACCCCAGGTGTCAGCCTTCAAGTGTGATGCTTCCTGTTTCTGTGAGCTGCGGTGCTCCTGTAAAATAGTTGGTTCTTCTGAGGTTCAGATTATACAGAAAAGACAGAAGTGGTGTTTGATTTTTCCTTTTATTTACCAAGTTTCAAAGTAATAAGTCAATCATAGCATTTTCCAGAGTGAGTTTTATTTTTGAGACCTTTTTAATTGAAATATTGGTTGTATTTAATCCATTGCAGTTACTGTCTTTACTGATGGTCAGATTGCCCCAGTATTTGTCAAGTTGTAATCTATTTAGCTTGGCCCCTGAGTCCATCTGACGTGACTTAGTTGTCCTTGGCAGCTTCCCTGCTTTCTGGTTGGATGGAATTGTTTTTGCTCATGTGTGAGACAGGGTCCTAGTTTTTAATTCTTTCCTCAGTACGAATAACAGTTTTCCTAGTATTGTTTATCAACATGTTTCCTTTTTTCATTATCTTTAGTGACATGTTTGCATATATGAAGGTTCTGTCACATGTATTTATTTGATATGTTTTAAGTATAAAGCAGCCTCTTCTGTATGAGGAACGAGATAGAGACGAACATTTGGAAGTTGAAGAGAAGGGGGCTCTATCTCCTCCTCACTCTCCTCTTCACTCTCCTCCTCACTCTCCTCTTTTCTCTCCTCCTCGGTGCTGCTCTGCAGCCTCCCTTCCCCACCAATAAAGACCTTTCGTACAAAAAAAAAAAAAAGAGAGAAGGGCAAAGCAGGAATCCTTATAAGAAGCTCTTTCTGGTGTTGCACTAGCGGTAGGGATGTTTGGAAGAATATGATGTCATTGCTGAACCAACACCTGAAAAAAAAATTTTTTTTTGAGACAGAGCCTCAAGCTATCCCCCTGGGTAGGGTGCTGTGGCTCACAGCAACCTCCAACTCCTGGGCTCAACCGAGTCTCCTGCCTTAGCCTCCCAAGTAGCTGGGACCATAGTTGCCAGCCACAACGCCTGGCTATTTTTTGGTTGCAGCCATCATTGTTGTTTTGCTGGCCTGGGCTGGATTCGAACCCACCACCTTAGGTGTATGTGGTTGGCGCCTGAGCCATAGGCGCCGAACCCTGAAATTTTTAAGTTTAAAGATGTGCATGTCTATTCTGTGTTCAGGGAAGAGAGAGCACACTTAAAAAAATGAAATAATTTAATGAAGGGACTACTTATAGGGCATGGTTTGAGTATTAATGAGGTTGTGAGCACTCAGGGAGTGGCAGCGCCCCAGGGGGTGGCAGTGGGGTCCTAGAGCCCAGTGAGAGGTGTGGGGCGGTGAGGCATTGGTCTCTACCCCTTCACAGTACAAGTGAGAAGGGAGAGGCCAGTCTTTCTCCTTCCACTTGGTGACATTCTTCAGTACCTCCGCTTGGCTGAACCTGTCCAGAAGCTAGAGTCTAAGATAGTCTGTGTTGTAGTCCAGGCACAGAGCAGGCAGACAGGAGGACAGTGGCATGGAGTACGGAGGACCCAGAGATAAGGATGGACCCTCACAGTGGTCTGGTTGTTACTTAGACTTCTAATTTTGAAAGGCTGCAGCCAAATGGCTAACAATAGATAAAACTTGTTTCCTGAAAAATGTCTTCGGGTAGTTTTGTTTATTTAGTACTGTCTGATTGTCTCCAATCTTTGATGAGAAATATCTGCTGAAAAGGTTGTTCTTACTCACATGGTGATTGCTGGTATGGAGTCTGGTTTGAGCACAAGGCTCTTCAGCAGTCCAGTGCTTGTTCTGATGCCTGGAACAGCTGCTGTTTTGGTAGCTAGTGTGACTGCTCACTCCTTTGAAGTTAGCATATGTGGACTAGTCACTTCCATTAGTTGTGTTTGGCCACAGTCAGTGTAATTTTGGTAGTTTTATATATTTAATAAATTTCTTCTCTTATGCATACGTCCTATGTAAGGATCCAGCCTTAATGATAACAGTAAGAGAAGTGCGTTGAATTTCTTTGGGTTATGTGCATAGCGGATAGCATTTGGACTCTGCAGCCTCCTTTCTGAATTCACCTGGTGTCACCACTTGGAACCTGGTTGACTTCGGGCAAATCTCTGTGACTACTGAAATATTTAAAAAATGGGGATGATGTAAATATCCACTTGATAAATGGGCATGATGTAAATACCCACTTGATAGGCTTGTGATGTCAGATAAACAGCTAGTTCATGTCCACACGTGGTGCAGGGCAGCTTGGCAGTGTGGTGAGCACGTGTGCTGACGGCTGGGTTGTGTGTGCTGTTGCAGGCCCCTGGCTTAGCCAACTGTCTTCTAGCCTGTTGTCTCACTGGTCATGGAAACAAGTGCTAGTCTCTGTTTTCTCTATACGCCAGTACTCATTTTGTGTTCTGTATAAATAGTTACTATTTACCTTCTGTTTAAACACGTTTTTGTTTAGAAAAAATCGGTAGTCATTAAAGTTTGATTTTTTTTCTCTATCCACATACTTTTCTTGTCAGCAAAAGGCACAAATAGAATTTTGCTTTTGTAAGTGTTAACACCTGTTCTTATTGCTGTCTCAATTAGTGTGCCTGGGAAAATGACACTGTCTTCCATTCTCAGTTATTTTATTTTATTTTTTTTTTGAGACAGAGCCTCAAGCTGTCCCCCTGAGTAGAGTGCCATGGCATCACGCTCACAGCAACCTCCAACTCCTGGGCTCAAGCGATTCTCCTGCCTCTGCCTCCCAAGTAGCTGGGACCACAGGCACCCGCCACAACGCCCGGCTATTTTTTGATTGCAGCCGTCATTGTTGTTTGGCGGGTCCGGGCTGGGGATTCGAACCCGCCACCTTAGGTGTACGTGGCTGGCGCCTTAGCCGGTTGAGCTATAGGCGCTGAGCCCCATTCTCAGTTATTTACAGTGATGGTCAGTGTACTGTAGGGTAATGCTTGCCTTCAAGGAGGTTCCAGGTGTTTCTGGTCATCTAGAATCAAATTCTCAAAGGACAGTTGTAAATATTAATGGGCAGTCCCAATTATCCCATGGAGGATAATTGTAACATTGAAGATACAGAATCGTATTTGATAGGTGATTAGTGGAAGAAGCCGTACATAGACTGTTGTCTTACAGCTATTTTTACAGGGCTGTGAGAGATTAGGACTGCTAAGTTTGTGTCCTACATCTGTCACTGTTGTGAGACCTTAGGCAAGTTATCTAATGCCTTGTCCTTATTCTTTTTATGAAACAAGGGTGTATTTGCAAGTAACTTTGGGTAACTGAGGAAGTTTTTAGTGCATGAACGAAGTGATTCATTGTTTCTAGTTTAGAAGGTGTATAGAAACATGCATTTCTTTTATAACTTAATGTATATATTCCTGAAGATTCTAGTATTCTGCAAGATAGCATTTTTAAAAATGGGGTTTTTGAGTAAAATAATGCTGGTGATCTCTCAGAACTTAACAGAATTTTGTTACCAAAGCTTCATAAAAAAATGACAGTCTCGTTGGTATAGGTAAGCCTTCTTGGTATTTGCACCTGGAATCACAGTCTGATTGTTTCCTCTCTCTGTCTTTCTGTATGTTGGTCTTTAAAGATACTTGCTTTGAAGAGATTGATTCCCCAGAATTCAAAACATAATCCAGTGGTAACCATCTTTATTAACAAACATACTTTTTAAAAAACATAAATGCAGTGAAAAATGTCTTCAGCTTCTTGATTTGGTAAGGGTTTCTATTTTAATTGGGAGGAAACCTGCTCCTAAACACTTCAGAACAGAAATATGTTGGAAAAATTGCAAAAATGAGATATAACTGCTATGTTATAAAGATAATCCTCTTAGTTACTGTGATCTGATTTTGTGTCTTCATTGTTTTAAAAAATTTTTATGATTATTATTTTTAATTGAAACAGAGTCTCACTTTGTGACCCTGGGTAGAGTGCTGTGGCCTCATAGCTCACAGCAACCTCAAACTCTTGGGCTCAAATGATTCTCTTGCCTCAGCTTCCTGAGTAGCTGGGACTATAGGTGCCTGCCACAATGCCCGGCTATTTTTGTTGTCGTTGTTGTTGTCATTGTTGTTTACTGACCATTATATTATTTTGTGTAGCAAGCTGGGGCTGGGTTGGAACCTACCAGCCCTGGCGCATGTGGCTGGCGCCCTAACCACTGAGCTATGGGTGCCCAGCCTGTTTTACAAATTATTAATAGTCTGGTTTCTCTCCAAATCATGTAAATCTTTTGCCTTTTAATATTTTTAAATTTTTTAGTTGTTATCAGTTTGAGTGTCAAATGGTCTCTTGTGATTTTGGTTTGTTTCTTGAGTATCTTTTCTTTATCTCATCATGTATATGTTTGTAAAGATAAGAGAAAACTTAAGATATTAATAGTTTCTTCTTTTACTTAACTATTCAACATGTCTGAAGAGATTAAGATCTCATATTGAGGTGCAAAACTAAGATTAGAAACCTAACGATCCATGTCCCTTTGCTATGCCTTAAAAGACAGGGTTCTCCTATGCATTTGAAAATATATTTTTTATTATTAATAAGGCAAAAGAAAAATATAGCAGACTTACATGAAAATACCCAAACCCTAGAGTGTTTTGGTAAAATTCAAAGTGCCCCTGAATACTTTCCAGTCTTGTGGAAATAAACATTAACATATCTCTTTTCTTCCCTCAGTGAACTTGAAGATGACTTACTTGGAGAAGATTTGCTATCTGGCAAAAAGGTAAGAAATATAGTTCCTTCTGAAATTAAACAATAGTCATGTAATTATACTTAAAATACTGGAGTATGTCATGAGATGTTGTGTTATTGGAAAGGTGTATATGTTAAAATTTTGTAAATGGAGTTATTTTCAAGTGCATAGAGAGTTGACTGCTAGTAAATCATGTAGTAATTGTATCTGAAGAAGTAAATCCTTTGGAGCAAATATTTTGGTTCTTGCTTTGTAGATAGCACTTTAGCAGGTGTTGGTTTTGAACAGCAGTGATGTAAAACTACTACTTTCCCTAAAGAAATGGAATAATTGGAGATTAATATTTTGCATATGTTTCTGGATTTTACCTTTGGGAGGCACTCAGAGATAAGCTTAAAAATGAATATACTAAAATATAATAAATGTTCAAATAAATAAGAGTAAGTCTAAAACTTAATGTAGGTTAAAAAACATCTCTGAAGCCATTATCTCTGTTCTATGTCTACTTATTGTGTGAGTATATACTCACATACCACTCTACCAGTACATTTTAAACATTATAGGATATATATAAAAAGTTGAAATGTAAATAAAAAGAGATGAAAGTGAAATACTGAATTCTTTTTATTCTTTAATGGTTTAAAAACACTATTCGCATTTAATATACTTCTCTATGCTTAGTTTTTTAAAGTACTTCTTTTGCTTAATTTTTAAAAGTTAAAAATTTTTTTTTTTAACTTACCAACAGTTAGTTATACAGTAAGCTCATACTTTTAGCTTCAGATTTGTCAGTAGTGGTACAAATCTGTATTTGTTGCAGATTTGTTTATAGTGGTACAAATCTGTATTTCAACCATTGTGGTAGGTTCACATCTGTAGCCTGATATATCACATCTGATCAGATTGCCTTTTTATCTTGTTGGTCATTTAGTTGGTCAAGACCTCCTACTAGAAGTGCCAATTCTGCTGTCTCCTGCACTGTTCTACTCACGTTAAGCTTGCTATACTTTTCTTTTTCTTTATTAATAATAAACATGTATTTTAAATTAAAATACAAGGAGCCACTTTCCCCCTGTGTGTGTGTGTGTTTTGCAGTTTTTGGTTGGCCCTGGGTTTGAACCGGCCACCTCTGGCATATGGGGCCAGTGCCCTACTCCTTTGAGCCACAGGCGCCACCCTTCGCCTCTGTGTTTTTACTGTATTATCAGCCTCTAGTGGCCTGGCTATTGACTACCCCAGCTTCTCTTTCTTTCTATGGCTCTGTCATCATCTGTGACGCTAAGAGTTAGTGTTATTTAAAATCCACCTGATTTAATAGAAGTGAACTCGGATATACCCAAATAAGTGGAGAACAGAAGTTCTGGTGAGAGTGCTGTCAGCTGTTGGTGTGGTGGGCTCACGCTCTGGCCTCGGGCTGCGGTGGGCTGTCTGGAGTGAGTGGGATACTCAGTGTTTCCTTGTCCAGGGTCACAGGGGAAAAGAGTTCTGTTGTTTGGCTATATCAGTGGATTGTTTTACACACCTCTCGAAATGCTCTCATTTAATACTTTTGTACCTAAAAGTGGCCACTTTTTCCTTTGTATTTAAGATGATTGAACAAAGAATAACAATTAGATGTTGAAAAGGTTTCCATGTTGTAAACTATTTCTATGTGAAGTTTGATTTCTGTCTTTTCCCAGGGAGCCCTGCCAGCCGCCATCCCCCTTTGGTGTACGTGTGTTGTGCTCTGAGGGACGCTGTGCTCAGGAGTCTGCTCAGTGAAAGTGGAAAAGGACTGTTTGGTTTAGATAGTAGTACTGACTGTTCTGGGGAAGTAATCGGACTTGTTTTTTTTAACTGGATGATTTTAAACATTGTATTGTATTGTATTGCTGTTTCCCCCTTGTCATTAGGCATTATTTTAAGATACTTTATAATGCTACATCTTACTTCAGTGTTTGTACACATGGCAGTCTATCTAGTTATTCCTGTGTGTTTTGGGGCTGTTTCTAGCTCCTTGCTTATGACTATTTTTAAAAGAAACTTTGATGGAAAACCTCAAGCATATGTGGAAAGAGAGATAACAGTATAGTTTCCCTCATGTCTCTGTCACCTGTCTTCAACAATTTTCAGTTAAAATCAGTTTTGTTTTATCTATATTCACTTACTCTTTACCTCCTGAATTATTATATTTGAAATAAATTTCAGATATGATGATGATGATATTTTAATGCGCAAATCTTATGCTTTGGGGATTTTTTTCTTAGCAGGTTTCCATAAAGGGGAATTTCTGGCCTAAGGGCATAAATAGTTTAAGGCTCTCGTGTCGTGCTGCCCAGTTGCTCTCTAGAAGTGTTTGATGAGTTTTATGTTCCTAGCAGCATAAGCATCCCTCTCACCTTTCCCTTTCCCCTTTATTACTGCTTATCTTGGTCAGTATGATAGATGGAAAAGGATTTGTGGTTGAATGATGTTGGTTCAATTTGTGTTTATTTGATTTCAAGTAAATTGAAAATGATTTCAGACATTCTGAGGTATTTATTACCAAGTATGTTGCTACGGGGTCTGTGACTAGAACCCCCGTGATAGGTATACTGGCTGCCTGACCACCATTTTCTCCCATTGGAGTTCCCACAGAATGTGCAGAGATGGGCCTTTGGTAAGACAGTCCTAGGGCACTGAAGGCCAAAGGGAGGCACATTCTCATGTACTGAGGGTAGCTCAGATGTCACATTCTTAGGGACATATTTATTGTGTCAAGAAAGGAGGTTGTCAAGGTTAAGGGTTTTTTTTTTTTTTTTTTTTGAGACAGAGTCTTGCTTTGTCACTCTCCGTAGAGTGTTGTGGCGTTACAGCTCACAGCAACCTCAAACTCTTGGGCTTAAGCGATTCTCTTCCCTCAGCCTCCCTAGTAACTGGGACTACAGGAGCCCTCCACAATGCCCAGCTATTTTTAGGGTCGGAGTCTCGCTTTGACTCTGGCTGGTCTCAAACCTCTGAGCTCAGGCAGTCCACGCGCCTTGGTCTCCCAGAGTGCTAGGATTACAGATGTGTGCTACCATGCCTGGCCTAGGGTTAAGTTTTAAATACTGTATAATTAAAACACAAGGTTGCAAATTTAGGATGAAGCAGGCTGGGGTGACTGAGTTAGAGCCTTTAGAAATTGGGTGAGATTGAGGTGGAAGTTGGTTGTCAATGTCTCTTTCCCTCCTTAGCCATCTCTATTTTACTTCTTCTTGGACAGGAATTCCCCTCGTACGCCGATATGGTCTTTGCTTCATAGGCACCAGTGTTGGAATGCTTGGGGAACTATTTTCTTCCCTCTTTTGAACTCTTGCTATCACTCTCACCAAAGTCTTTACCTTCCTGGGACTATTGCAGAGAACCCTTCTTTTTCTTTCATGCTTGCTTCTCTCCTCCTGGGGCAATGACCTGTTTGGCAGGTTTGGGAGAAAGGATTTCACTGCATCTGTGGGTATTTTGTCTTCCTCTCTGGGCTCTGTTTGGCCTGCCTTTCTGTAGACGGTCAGGAGCAGAATGCTGGGCTGTTCTACGCCATCCTTGCTTGAGGAAATAGTTCACTCCAGTTCATTGGGATGTGTTGAAATAAGGTGACCAGGTGTCCCACTTTTGAACAATTTGTTCCGTGTCCCGCGGCGTTTTAAAAGTCCCAATTTTTGGAAAGAATGCACGACAAGCTAGGGAATGCAGGAGAACAGGAAGGGAATATACGGTTTTCGGCTGCCATGTGGCTATTTCGCCAGGATATGAGTTTTTGTTTTTTTGTTTTTTTTTTTTTT